GGCTGACCAGACAGGAGACCAGCAGGTTGCAGAGCGCTCTGCATCCCAGTTTCTGTGTGGGGACATCAGCAATACTCAGACCTCTCACAGGGTTCCTGGGAGACTTGAGTAAATGAGGTCACGTTTATAAGGAGTCTGGCTCCCAGTGGTTGCTCAGAAACGGTTCCAATGACGTCACTTGCAGTCGTCTGTGGACACACGGCAGTGTGAGTGCTGGAGGGAGGGACTGCATCTTCCCCTCCTTCCGAGCCTTCCACTGTGCAAGCTGTTCTTTCGTCTGCACGCCTCACTCCTGCTTTCCAGGAACAGACCCTGCTCCACCTCAACACACATGCCCAATGAGCTCCACCTGGGGGGCCGGAGCCGACCCTCCAGTCACAGCAACTAGTCCAGGATGGCCACGTGACCCACCCCAGGCCAATCCCCCCTGGGAGGGGGAAGGATCCCTGGCCTTTGGGTCCCGAGAGCAGGAGGTGTGGGAATCTGGGGTTGCCAGTGGCCCTGTTTCCCGTCATGGGGAGAAAGCCTGGTTCCTATTGGAATGTGTCTCAAAGCACAGACAAGCAGCGGGAAAGAGTGTCCTAATGGCCCTGAGGCCCTAGTCCCTGTGCTTCCTGGAGCTGCCCTGTCCTGCAGCTTCCTTCCAACAGATCCCTTCCTTGGCTTAAGCTAGTGTGAGTTGGGTCTCTGTCACTTGCAACCACAGAGCCCTGACTAACACCTACCCCCATCCTGCCTAATGCCTAGCACCAAGGAGGGCCCACTGAGGCAGCACAGCACCTGGCTCTGAACAAATGAATGAATGACAGCCAAGACTGTGGGTAAGGCCAGCGGGGAAGCAGGGCTCCAGAAAGTCTGTTCCACCCTTCCAGAACCTGCTGACCTACTCAGTCCAACCATGAGACATTTAAGGAGAAGCAAAGAAACAGAATCTCAATGGAGGCGCACAAACAGGGGTTTCTCTAAAAGATGCAAGAAGGAATGGAGCAGAAGGCTCAAGAAAGAGAGCTCTGTGGTCTTCCGCAGACAACCCACCCTCAACCACTCCCGACCGCAGGCCTTCCCTCCATACCCCACGCCCCAGCCAGAATCCAGAAAGGGAGAGGCAGTGGCCAGGGCAGTGCTGGGGAGGAGAGGGCTGGGGGAAGGTCCCACAGCCAGAATCCGGGGTGGGTCCTAAGCAGGGCTGCCACTCCTCTAGCTCCAGGGGCGAGCTTACAGCCGGTAAGTCAGATGGGCCACGAGACTCCCAGCCATCCAGGGAAAGTGCTCTCTACCTGGGACCTGGTCTAGGCCTCAAACTCAGAGAATAAAAATTGGTACTTCAATGGAGACTAAGCACTGTCCACAGCACACCTTTCAGTCCTACCTGAATCTGATGCGGCAGAAGCTACTTTACAACCCGAGCAAGACAGACAACTGACAGCAATGCACAACTCTCGTCTATCGACACGCAAATTCTGTCTTCCCTTCCACCCCGTGAAAAAGCCAGTTTTGTCTCTATCTGCACATTCACTTCAAAATTCCTGATCTATAAAGGTTTCTGTTCTTTGGGCTCTCTTTTGAATAGGTTATGACATCTGCCTGGTTCCCTCATTGATTAGTGAGTAAAGCAAAAGCTTTAAACACACACCCATTTTCATTTCTGTACAAGAGTCACGATTTTACCTTTTTCTGAAAATTATCTTTTAGCAAACTGAAGGACTCTGGGGCTATGAATAGGGCCCAGCTCACAATCCTGGGCTCTTCAGCCCCTATTTTGGACCCAGGTTCCCAGCTCCCAAGGGCTTCCTAAGGCCTCCCCTTCGCCTACCCACTCCAGCTCCTCCTCCTGTTCTCCACCTGCTGGCTCCGGCGGCCGACCTGGCTCTCCCACCAATGGGATTGGTCCTCAGCTGTGGGGTCTTAGGTTGGGCCAGTGATTTATAGAGTATAGGTGGCTGTGTTCATATTCATAGTCATCCTCCCTTCCTCCCTCTCTCTTTCTCCAACAGCCCACACAGCAGCCTTTGCTCTTTGAGTTCCAAACCACAGGTTACTTCAGGGATAGAATTAGTATCCAAACAAAGGGTGGCAAGGGGCAGACTTTCTGGCAGCCCCTCCCCTCACTGGGGCTCCTGTAAGTGGAGCTGATTTCTAGCCTTGCTCTTTCCTTAAGGCTGGTGTTGGATAGAAACCTGCTGCCTGCCTTCCCCTTTTCCCCTCTGGGCAGATGCTGGCTCCCTGCTCCTCCCATAGACACCACCAGCTCCATATTTACTCATCACCTACCAGGTGCTGGGCTCTGTGCTGTGTGCTGTTGGGGTTCAAGCCCAAGACAAAGTCCTCACCCTCAAGGACCTCACGCTCAGAGACTTAGACAAAGAACCTCTATAGGCACACACAAAGACAAACGATACGGCTACAAGAAGGGCAGAACACATTATTTGAGTACTCACTATGTGCCAGGCGTGTGCTAAATACTTTACACATATTTAACCTTCACAACAAACCCAAGAGCAGATGCTATTATGAAATTATGAAAATACAGAGGCTTTCAGAGTTAAACACTGGAGCAGACACAGTCAGGGTGTCTGTCCAGCTCAGAACAACTTCTCCAGTGGCCATGCCTGTGTCCAGTCCCTCTCCTACTTTGGGAAACTCTATGTCCTTCTCCAACACACAGTGATTGGTCCAAAGGGTGGTCATGTGACCTAGAGTTAGACCAATCAGAGTCCTGTTCCCGGAACTTTGCCTGGGAACTGGAGGGAAAACTTCTCTTGTCTCTGGCCATGGAGCTCTGGGGGTAGGAGTTGGCCTCACGTTGCTAAAGGCCAAGAATCTGTCCTGCAGAGAAGCTGGTCAGAGAGAAGTGGGATGTCACAGAGAAAGTAAGGAACCTAAAGACAGAGTCCATGTAAGCCTCCAGTACCAATTACATTTAAAACCACCTCCATCCTGTTCCTCTCACAAGCTGGCTCATAAGCCAATAAATTACCCTGTCTTTCTTAATCTAATTTGAGTTGGTTTCCCATCATTTGCAACCTACAGAGTCCTAAGCAATGCAGGTCCTTTGCCTGAGCTGCATGCTGTCTTAGCAGCCACCTCATTTGCTGTGTGGCCGGATTTTGGACCCCAGACGGCACGGCAGCATCAGGCTATTTCATTATCCTACAAGTATTTCCAGGCAGATTGTCATGACTGTGAGGTTGATGCTTCTGTTCATTGACTGTTCGGCTTCCAGAAACGTGTTACTACTCACCTCATGGAAGTCATATCATGATTCTCACCAACCACTTACTGAGAGCTTATGCTATGTGAGGTACCAGGCTACACACTGTGTGTCTCATTTAACTCTCCCCTAAACCATGCACAGTGAGTATTGTTAATGCTGTTTTAAAAGTGGAGAAAGGGACACTTGAGAAGGTTAGTAACCTGGCTCCAAGGTCAAAAAGATAGGAAGGGGCGCAGCCAGACTGTGTGGTTTCAAAGCCCACGCTCCTGGCCAGTCCACTAGTGTTCCTCTCTGTGCAGTACTGTGGTCGGCTGCAGGTCAATCACAGGCTTCAAGAACTGCCAGGGTAGATTGAGCGCAAGGTGATGCTATCCCAGCCTGCCCACCTGCAGTCGTTTGGTCTGCATGAGAACACAGCTACCTTACAGGTCAGAGGAACCTTAAGCCAGTGGAGGCCCATGCAGCAGGTGGACCCTTGGCCTTCTAAAGAGGCCCCACTCGAATTCTTCGGGACCCACCACGTGTAGGCATCACCCTTCTCAGCTCTTACGTCTGGATGAACGTCTATGATGAGCTGTCAAGCTGGGTCACCTGCAGGGACTCAGGACCCTGTCCTGTTATCCCCTGTTGATGTGGCATTTGCCTGCCCACACTGCTCGCCTCCTCCTGCTGGACTCCACACAGCCCCAGCAAGCTGAGCTGGGCCTGACCCCAACATGTCACCCCTCTACCCAGCTTCATAGGGGAGGGCCCGGGGTTCTGCCCACCCTCCCTAGCATCTGGCTGTGGCCTGCATGACTGCCACCATAGGTCCCTCTTGCACCTCGACTTGTCTTCATCCTCCCAGAGCCATAGCTGCAGGCCCCTCTGACAAAAGCCTCTTGCCAGAAGAGAAACAGCAGAGGGCCCACCTCCAACACTTTCCCCCTCCTTCCTTTCTGGTCTGTGCCTCTTTAGCTCCGAGGCGCCCACTTCTAACCCACAGGCCAAATGTGGTGTGTAGATACATTTTGTTCAGCATTCACTGTGGTTTTTTATTTTAACATTTAAAAATTGACAGCTTCACTTAGACATCTAGATTTAAATTTTCCATAATATCAAGTTTTTTTTAAAAAAATCTGCATTTCTGACCTTTCTAGAAGAACTGGCCATATGTGACAAGAGCCCTGCATCTCTGCATGAGAGTCACCAGCAGCAGCTGAGTGAGTACCAGGCACTCACTTGGGACAGAAGTGGGCTCAGCGTCACCAGTCTCAAAGTCTGCCCATGACTCTCTTTTTCCCTGCCTGTCTGGTCTCTGTGAAGACACAAGGCCCACAGTGGGGACCTGGGATCCCCTCTAGCAGATTGATAGCTCATTGGCCAGTCTCTCCAGCCTGGGATTGGACATTTTCTCCAGATGATGGGTCTCAGGGAAGCCCCTTCAACTCTAAGGCAAGCGAGCACCCCCGAGACACGCCTGCCCCAGGCTCTGAACGTGTCCAAGCCCAGAACCCACTGTCAGCGGGCCCCAGCTCGCCAGGGGCTGGCACTGATGGCCTGTGACCACCTCAAGACAGGTATGCACCACTGAGGTCAGGCTGCGGCCTGGGGTGGGCATCAGGCTAGCTCAGGCCTGTTTCACCACAGAACCCGCTGTCCAGCTGGGCTAAGGAACAAGCAGTGACTTCCCCAAGGCCACGCAGAAAACACCAGGCCCGAGAGAAACCACCCATTCAGACCAATACCGGTGGCTCCCACTCCACCCCCTGCCCAGCCCTAAGCCCCAGGACTCGGAGACACTCACGATGTTCATGAGGGTGAGGACGTAGTTCTGCACGTGCTCCTTGCCATGGAAGCGTACCACTGAGTCGTCCACCGCCAGCAGTACTTCGATGCTGTAGCTGCCCGTCTTGGCATGTCGCCGCTTCCGATCCCCGTCACCCAGCTGGTCCCCCACCAGGCCCAGCAGGTTGGGAAGGCTGCCCAGGCCAAAGGCTGAAACCAGGATGGGAAGAGATGGAGGTCAGACCCACGTGAGGGGCTGGCCCCCTCATGCCGCCCGCCAACACAGCTCTGCCCCCTGTCGCATGTGCCCCCTCTCCTGCCTCTGTAAGCCAACGTAGCCCGAGGGTTTGTTCCATACCAGATAGTTCGTGGGCACAAACCGTTTTCCTGGCACGAGGGAATGGCTACGTCTTTGAGGCAATGAGGAGCAGAGAAGTGATAAGTGGCCTGGGTTCCACTTCCCACTTGGTCCTGTCCCACAGTGTGTCCTAGCCCAAGCCCCTTCGCTTCTCCAGGCCTCCATCTCCCCTCCTGTGACATGGTGATGAATAATCCTGGATCTCTTGCCCCACAGGCCTGCTGTAAAAATCATAGGTGGCAGTGAGTGGAAATGTAACCACAGGCCCTCTAGGACTAGTTCAACTGTCCCCATCTTATCAACAGAGTAATTAGGAACTGAGAAACGACCCCTTGTCTAGTTCCAGCCAGTTGAGACCACCAACCTCTCAAGTGGGCCTGCGTAAATGCCCATAAATGAACCCTTTTGACATCAAAGGGCTGAAAATTCCACCCTCAGATCATGGTAACGCTGCCATTGTGTGAGCACGCATCCTATGAAGAGGCAGGCAGCTTGACTACGCTTGCACAGATCATCAATGACCTCACTTCTCCTCACCTCTAATCATCCATCTCCACGTTTCAGACCGCCCTGCTCGACATCCCATAAACTGCCCCAAGCCCTGGCTCGGGGAGACAGATCCGAGAGCACACGCCCTGTCTCCTTATAGCTGGATCTCACAAAATAAAGCTGATTTCTCTTCCCCTAAGCTGATGCCATAAAATTGGCTTTTTTTTACGTGCATTGGGCAAGAGAACCCCAGTTGTGTGCAGTAACAGATCAACGAGCACCTTGCAGAGACCCAAGTTCTGCCTCCAAGCCTCTGCCAACAGGGGTACTGCAGGAGCGAAATCTGAGGACAGGGCAATGGGCAAGCACGGGACGCTGTGCTTCTGTTCCTTTTGATTTCCCTTCCGTTAGCGGCCCTCTAGTACAAACAAGGAAAGCACTAGAGTTAAGGGTTGGAAAACTGTGTGGCCACTGGCCTATTGGAGACACCAGAGAAGGGCGGCCGGCCCTCCAAGTGCACGGTCAGGCGAGCAGGGCTCAGGCTGGTGTCACCACTGCTCACCCCTGGGGCCACTGCCTCTCTCTCTGCAGGTCACACTGCACAGAGCTCTGGCAGTGAGCCCAGCGGGGAGTGCAGCTGCCCAGAGACAAATTCCTGGGAGGGAGGAGGGAGAACTCCAGGAGGCAAGGGCTCCCTCCAGGGAGCGTGGAGAAGAAATGACAGTCACTCCCAACGTGGGAGCAGTGCCCGAAGGGTTACACACCGCGAGTGAAATGTGGGACTTGACCCCTCACAGCTCCGCCTGCAACGCCTGTCAAAGAGAGGCTCAGAGAGGTTACCTGACTCATCCCAGGTCACACAGCAAGTTAAAGGCAAAAGCCCAGAATGTGAACCCGAGTCTCTCACTCTCCCATTATCACACCCTATTAGGGCCCACCCAGAGTTCTCTGTCAGCAAAAACAGTGAGGAGATTGGGGAGGGCCTGCCGAGGTCAGCCACAGACCCCGGAGGTGTCCCAACCACACCCTCTTCTATGTGTCTCTCATCCTTCAGGCCACACATAGGTAACCCTCAAAGTGGGAGATGGGGGCAGCAGGCTGCTGGCAGGCTTTCAGTGAGCCCACCCAGGAAGCCCCAAGAGAATGTAAACCAGGGCAGCTGCTTTGAAAAACAGTCTGGCAATTCCCCCCAAATTAAACATAGTATTACCATAGGACCCAGCAATTCCACTCCTAGCTATATACTCGAAAGAACTGAAAACATATGTTCACACAAAAACTTGTACATGAATGTTCATAGCAGCACTATTCATAATAGCCAAAAAGGGAAGCAACCCAAATATCCATCAAGAGATGAACAGATAAACAACATGTGGTTTCCCCACACGATGGGACATTCCCCTGCTGTGCAAAGGAGTGAAGTCCTGGGACGTGCCACAGCATGGATGAACCTGAGATGCTGAGTGAAAGAAGCCAGTCACAATAGGCCACATGTTGTGCGATTCCATCCATACGAGATGTCCAGAACAGGCAGTCCACAGAGATAGAAGGCAGCCCAGTGGTTGCCAGGGCCGTGGGGAGGGGAAACGGGAGTGACTGCTGATTGACGGGTATAGGGTTTTATGGGAGTGATGGAAATGTTATGGAATTCAGTAGTGGTGATAGATGCACAACATTGTGAATACGGTTAAAAAAAAAAACCCTAAAACACTGAATTGTATGCCTTAAAATGGTTAAAATGGTGGATTTTATCTCAATTTTTTTAAAAAAGCAGCAGCAGCAGCAGCCCTAAGGCCCAGCCGGCTGGCTGTCCCTCAAGGGATGAGCTGCCCTAGTGTCTGGCAGCCCCGGCCCTTGGCCAAGGAGCTGGAACTCCGCCCACAGGTGCACACGGCCTGCTGGCCTCCAGTTCCCTCCTCAGGGGGGACTTGGGGTGGAAAGGGGGTGACAGAGAGCAGGACCACAGGCTGAGGAAGGAAAGGGCAGTGTTGGGAGCATGGGAGCGTCCAGGGCACAGCCTCCAAGGCCAAGGCAGGGTCCACAGGGGAGTCTCTGAGGGGCTGGGGCAAGGGCCAGCTCACACCTGGAGGTCTAGCCGAGGGAATTTCTACCTCCAGATGCTAAACAGTCTAGATTTCTCACAGAGCCCTTGAGGACAGACGTGCTTAACTCTTTTTGGGGGCCCATCAAGGATGTGTGTAAGTATGAGTGTGTGTTTGCATGAGTGTGAGGAGATGTCAGTGGGTAGGGGGTGTAGGTGAGTGGGCAAGCATGTGTGAGGTGACTGTGTGTGGGTGTGTGAGTGGGTACAAGTGTGGCAGGGAGTATAAGTAGGTATGAGTGTGTAAATGAGTGTGACTATGTGTGAGGTGTGTGACTGTGTGTGGATGAGGTGTATGTGGGGTGTAGTGTATGTGAATGAGTGTGAGTATGAATGTGTGAGGTGTATGACTGTGCGGGTGGTGAGTATTAATGTGTGAGGGGTGTGACCGTTGGTGTGCAAGTGGGTATTGTGCTATTGTGTGTGAATGAGTGCAAGTGTGCGTGAGTTGTGTGGCTACGGGGGGTGTGAGTGGGTATTAGTGTGTGTGAACATGTGAGACGTATGACTGTCTAGGGGTGTGAGTGTGGGGTGTGTGTATTGCATGTGAGTGGGTGAGTGTGTGTAGGTGTATGTGAGTGGGCAAGTGTGTGTAAGTGAGTGTGTGTGTGTGAGGTGAGTGGGTATTAATATGTGTGAATGAGTGTGAGTGTGAGTGTGTGAGCTGTGACTGTGTGAGGTGTTTGTGTGAGTGTGGGGGGTTGTGTTGTATGAGTGGGCGAGTGTGTGTGAGTGTGTGTGGGTATACACATGCTCTCTTCAGGAGGCAGCAGCCAGGACCACATCCTGAGTGCCAACGGGAAGAGTCCCACCCCCAATGTCATGGGTGCCTGTCAGCCACCTGCACGGTGGGGCCCAGGTGGCAGGAGGCCCTTCACGAGGCCCGGGCTCAGCTGGAAAACTAGCCTGATGGCTCCTCTGACGCTGCCTCTCCTTCCTCAGGAAAGCCAGACGCACTCCACAGGGCAGCAGAGCTCACGCAAGGGACACAAGGATCATTAAGACTTGGCATCTGTCCTCCAGGACCCCCAGCCTGTGTGGGAGAAGGAAACAGTCCCAGGAGAAATCCAGGGGGCTGAGGGATCCAGGAGAGGGGACACCTGAACTGCGCTGACCCCCAGCAGGACGGGGAAGGACAGAGAGGGGAAGGTGCCCAGGCTGAGGGAGCCTTCTCAGAAGCCGGCTTCCTGGTGGCCAAGTAGCTCTGACCAGCTGGCCCGGCCTCTGAGGCTCTTCTCACCCCCAGACATGCGGGAAAACCCTTCGTCCTCTCAAGAATGTTCAGTGGAGATGGGTGCACCCACAAAGCCTTCTCCACACACTGGGCCCAGCCCCGCTGCTAGTCTTAAAATAACAGAAGGAGTGAGTGTCACAGGTTTATTCTAAGGAAGGACACAGATGAGCCCCGGCATGGCATCGCCCACAGGCTCACAGGCACTCCAGCAGGCAGTGCGATGAAAGGGAGTCACACAGCCTCCCGGGCTGAACTCTGACTCTGCCAGCTGCGCATCTGAGGTCAATCATCCCTAAGGTGGGCGCTGGTTCCCACTGGTCCCCACCCTGCCCCTAAAACCCAGCCTAGCCCCACCCCACCCCAGGCCTGCAGAGCCCTCCACCACTCAGCTGGCTCCTGGGGCTGCGGCTTCTCTTACAGCGACTCTGGGGGAGCAGCTGGGGCTTCAAAAGAGGCATTGTGTGTGGGGACAACTGGCTTCCAGGCATTCCTTCACGCGATGCCCAGCCCCACAGGGGCCCTGACGGGAGGGCGCGGTCCGCTCACAGCCAGATTCCACCCAGGCCTTCTCATGTCCTTGTGGCCAAAGGGGCTCCACGACAAAGCTAAGTTGGACTATGAAGTTGGCCACGGGCCCAGGACCAGCACACATCGCAGCCGCTGCTTCATGGGCTCAACCATGGGTCCTGAGCATTGCTGCTGCGCAGGCGGCTGTGCTGGTCACTGGGGGGCAGGGACGCCCCGCTCTCAGGGGCTCTCACCCTAACCAGCAGTTACCCTAGTAACAATACTGTAGTAAGAGCAGCCACTCAGCAAGCACCTACTACGTGCCCAGCTCCGTGCTGGGATTCTTACCTACACTATCACTAATGCACTCAACCTGAGAGGCAGACAATGACCACCTCCACTTTGCAGAGTAGATGAGGCTCAGAGATGTAAGTAACTTGCTTAAGGTCACACGGTAGACAGTGTTGGAGGCAGGATTTAAAAATCATCGGTTGAGGGGCCAGCCCCGTGGCCGAGTGATTAAGTTCACGCGGCCTGTTTTGGCAGCCCAGGGTTTCACCAGTTCAGATCCTAGATGCAGACCTAGCATGGCTCATCAAGCCATGCTGAAGCGGTGTCCCATACAGCACAACCAGAAAGGCCTACAAGTACAATATACAACTATGTACTGGGGGGCTCTGGGGCGGGGGAGAGAGAGAGGAGGAGGGGGACGGGGAGGGGAAGGAGGAGAAGAAGATTGGCAACAGATGTTAGCTCAGGGCCGATCTTTAAAATTAAAAAAAATTCTAAAAAAAAATCGTCTGTTGGACACCAAGCTGACTCTGATGCCCTGACACCAGGCAGTCCCCTACAAGTGCCCCAAGAACTTCTTTCCTGTGGCTCCCAGGGTTGAGTTGATTTTTAGGGGGAAGAGCTAACTGCAGCCATTCCACCTTCTGCCTTGGCAGAGAAACAGCCTTGCAGAGCAACCCTGAGCCCTGGAGAGACCTCTGGAGTCCCAAGGACTACAGTTCAGGGGACTTGAGTAGCTTCTGTGGCCCCCAACTCCAGCTAGCTATAGTAGCCCCTAAACCCACTGGGGTTTCTCTGCTAGTGCAGAAGATCTACACAGCCTGGTCCCATTTTACAGATAAGAAGGCAGAGGCCAGGAGTTGAGAGGTTAAGGTCAGAAGTTACCCAAAGACCCCCCCCAGAGGTGTGGACAGAGGCAGAGCTCGGGGACCTGCCCAGTGCCTACCTTCATTGTGAAGGTCCCCGCCAGGCTCTGCCCACTCCCGCGGGACAACTTCCCGACGGTACACCACATGCGTCCTCCCGCTGGCCTCCTTCTCCTGCTGCCCCCACTCCAGGGGTTCTATGAAGAAGTCAGTGCTGTCGGTGCGGATGAGGCCCGCCTGAACCAGGGGAGAGAGAAGAGGCATGAATACACGGCACAGAACAGGTGAGCAGTTGTGAATGCAAATGTGTGTGACCACATGGGTGCAGGCTCTTTCCGGGGGGCCTCAGGCAGCCCTGGGATCCCAGCAGGGAAGTTTAGGGTGGCAGGAAGCTGAGCAAGGGGGCCCATGCCCATTTCCAGAAAATCAGATCCACTTGACTGTGCTGTGCACTCATGGGGTTCCACAAAACGTTTCATTGAAACAAACGGTTCCTGTGCTTAAAAGGGGGGAGGGGAGGAAAGCCACTGCCACAAAGAATACACGCGCACATCCCAGGACACCGCATCCCACCCTGAAGCGCTGGCACGTGGATTTGCCTTTGCCTACCTGCAGACAGGAGAGCAAATCCTATCTGTAAAGGTAAAGGATGCCCAAGGAGGGTGCTGGTTCCCCGCTCCAGGACAAAGCACTATTATTTCAGATTTGAAGCATGTGAGCACTCATGCCAGGGAGAGCAGCTAATGTTCGCTGACCATCAACGAGCCAGCACAGTGCACACGAGTGCACACTCTGTTTTCAATCTAATTTTTTGCCTGCATCAAAATATTCCCTTAAAAAAAATCGGGTGTTTTGACCTTGGAAATAAAAACAGAAAATTACAACCTTGGCCAAGCCCAGCAAATGTGTTATGAGCCCCCGGTGAAGGCAATAATCACAGGGGCCAAGGAAACACACAACCAGATGTGTGTGAATATACAAGTAGCCGCGCAGGGCCCCGGCCCCCGGCACACATCAGCTCTATAAAATCAGAACAGCCCACCTACCATGGTGCTTGGGACAGAGCAGGCACTGCTAAATAAATATGTGTTTGTCGAATTCCCTCACTCATTCAGCAACTGTCTACTGAATGCCTACAACCTCCCAGCACTGCTCCAGACACTGGAAATGCAGCTGGGAACACAAGGCAGCGAACGAAGGAACCATTTTTATAAACCCATTGCCCCTTCTCCGTTTGAACAGGAGCTGCCTGTTTTTAAAGCAGCCACTACTTTACGCAGTTAACTGCCACCAATTTTCCCACCTCAGCCTGTTTGGAGATGGCCTCTTTGGGAACTCCCTTGCAAGTCCGACGGAGCACACACCACCGAACCTCCCAGCAGCTGCCAATCTCTTTCTCGTCCCTTCCAGCCAGATGTGTGGATCAAACGGCAAACACCATTTTGGATCAAAGCCAAGGGGGCTGCCTTCTGCGCCTCATAAACCGCCTCAATCAGAAGGCCAAAAATGCTATAGGGAAAAATAGCAGCATTACTGCGTCAAGTTTGGGGCTTCCCAAGGTGACCATTTTATCAGGTGACACTCAATTGTCTGCAAAAGTTCTGGTCTGCTTATTAAAACGTCAACGTCGCAGCTTGTTTGGAGCAAATATCCTTTCATTCAAAGCACTCTCCCTCTTATCTGTACCTACTATGTGTCCAGGGCAGGGAGAAGCAGATGAACGAGGCCCAGCCTTGGGTTGTGCGTGGCTCTTCACCAGGAAGGAGGGGCCCGCAGAGAAGCAGGGGGAGGCTGGGTGTCGTGCTGGGTACTAGGGCGGGTATGCCTGAGGGCCAGGTATCCACCAGACTCCTGGCTGCAAGGGGCAGAAATTCAGCTTGAACCTTCTTGGCCCAAAGGAGAGTATATTGGCCCCATGACAAACCATGGCAGGGGCAGGCGCTGGGAGTGAGGGACCTAATGCCCTCAGCTCCCTCCCACCCTTCCTCTGGGCACCCTGTCAGCTGCATTCTCCCAGCAGTGCTATGCAGTCTATTCTGGCAGGCACATCTCTGCCCTGCCACCAGAGACAAGGAGATGGTCCTTTCATAGTCCCACCTGCAACAGCCCAAGGGAGGACTGTGGTGGGTCCAGCCAGAGTCACACGGTCACTCTGGGACTGCCAGTTCCTGTGAGACCTCCACGGCCCGCAGAAGGGCGATGACTGCATTGGAAGGGAGAAATTCTTAGGGTGGCAAGAGAAACCCGCCTGGGCTGGAAAGGGTGCACCAGGCAGGGGCCCGGGCAAGAGCGTGGGAGCATGAGGGCAGGGCAGGCCTGGGGAGGCATTCAGGCTCATGGGCAGAGGCTGAGCCCAAACCTGGACAACAGGTAATGGCCAAATTGAAGGGCCTCTGCCACTGCAGCCCTGCAGAGCCCCCCAAAAGGAAGCTTGTCTTCCAGGGCACACAACGACTGTCAGACAGGAAGCCCAGGGCATTCCCCCCAAAGCTACTACAGCTCGGCCACCACTCCAGCCCTTTCCTCTTTCTGTACCCGTCTGATACCCAGGGGGCTGTTCCTGCCCTGTTCCAGCCCCCCTGGACCAAGCAAGGCAGGGGCCCCTCACAGCACAAGTCAGAAGGCCTGTGCTTCATCCAGACCGAAGTCGTCCACAGCCAGACTAGCCGAGGACTGCAGCTGTGCTGTCCCTGCCCACCACACCTCTGGAAGCAACGCAGCAGAGGAGAATTCTCCAGACCAGGGGGCAGAAGACTCCACTCAGCCACCCCCAAACCTGGGCCACCTCGCCACAGCCCTCCCCCACTGAGACTCGGCTAACCAACTGCACAAGGAGGATTCTTCAAAAGCCAGCATTCCCTCCCTCACTGTCCAACGACTCGATGTGGCCACCAGATCTCAGTGCCTCATGTGAGGGATGCAGGTTCTGGAATGAGCCACACAGCCTAGGGAGGGGCTGGCTGCAAGGCACTGCCTTCCAGCCCACCCCTCCCTGCCCACAATCATGGACCACACAGACCTTTCAAGATCACCATGCCTGCCTCAGTCTGAGGCTTCGGTACCTGGACAACATCCCTAGTTAGGGGACCTCTCACTTTTACTGGGATGCCTCTAGTGACAGAGAGCTCCCTCCCTCAAGATGGAACCTATTATGTGTAGGGACATTCGCAATGTTTTACTGAGCAGAAACACATTTCCCGACATTCCACCCTTTATAAACAGTCTTATTATCACTGACGTTAGTAGCAGTATCTATCACTTGTATTTACACATCTTATTTCATCTTTACAATGACCCTATGAGGGAGGCACAAATATTAGACCCATTTCATGCAGGAGGGAACAGAGGCTCAGAATGGTTAAGTAACTCGCCAAAAGTCACCCAGCAAGTAAGTGACAGCACTAAAACAAGAGCCCAGCTCTGTGTGTCTCTTAACCACTAGGCTATACTACCACAGGTCATCCCTGGGCCCTGCTTCTGCCCTTGGGGGCCACTTGGGGCAAGGAAACCTTCCTTTCATAATCCTATCTGCAAATCCCTGGGCCTCTGGTCTGGTCTGACCTCGCAGAGTAAGCAGGATGTTCACTTTTCACCCTGGGCAAAACGCCCCCACGGAAGCCAGTCCACCTCCCACCATGCACGCAAGAACAGAGGAGAAACTTCAGCACAAAGTCCCAAAAAGAGCAGACTCCCCAGGTGACCTCCATCTGGCATGAGAGGCTCTGCACAGCATCCTCATCACACCCCAGCTCCTCTCTACCAGAATTGGAAGCCCCAGGACTCCTGGGTGTGGTCAAGGCCCCCTGCCCACACGTCTCTCCCCAGGGCAGAGTTCAAGAAGCCCTCTTTCCCCAGCCCAGTTAACTCTTTAGGGCAAAGACCTCAGCCCTGTAATATGCAACTTGGGATGTAAGCTCAAACCTCTGTGTGACCGTGGTTTCCACCAGCCCCCCCAGGGAACAAGGGCAGAGCTTCCCCAGTGATTTTCCTCGTCCATTTGTGCACACATCCAGCCTTGATCAGCAGCTCTTATCCAGGCCTGGGCGCCCCCTTGGCCTCGAAGACCCTCCCCCTGGAGAGGAGATGGGAAGGCAGGCTCGGCCACCAGACCAGGAGGCAGGCCCTTGGTTTCCCCTCTGCACCATGAGAGATTTGGCCGATGATCCCCTCCAGCTCTGCCCTGGCCAGGAAACCAGGCCCCGAGCGGGCAGACAGACTGGCAACAGGAATTTTTGGCTCTGCCTCCTCACCAAATTACTCCCATCTCTCAATTGATGAGATGTTTATGTTTCTGACAAGTGGTGGCTAATTTTAAAGCACTATAATCAAGTCAAATTTCTGTGTAAGAAATCAAGAAAAGGGGGGGAAATAAGTTCTGGTAGGCTGGAAAAGAGATGGCAGCCATGTCTGTGCTCACCCTTACCTTATTCCCTGGAAAAATAAATAAGCAGGAAATACATACTAGAAAGTATCTTCACGCAATAAGAACAACAGAAATAGCTGATCGCGTCCCACTGAGCCACAGCCTATACACGCCCTCAGGCAGCTTCCCCAACGGAAACTCTCCCACGGGCAGGCCTGGCGGCCCTCAGCAGAGCCCACTCTACGGCTGCTTCGGAGGGGCCCTTCCTGGGAGCTGCGTGGCTGATGGGGAGCATCTGTTGACTTTTCTAATATGGTTGTGACATTGTTTTGGTGGCAAAGGTGACACCTTCTGCTACATCTTCATCCCGAGGCCTCCAGGCCACACTAATTGAGGTTTTCCAGTCCTGCTTCCCCTCATGGGAAGCCCCCAGATCCAGAGGGTAATTCCAGGGCACTTGAAGGAGACAGGGTCACGTGGTGATGCGGAAGGTGGGTGCTGGCTTAGAAATCGCCTTGTGTCCTGCCTTGGGTCATAATTGAGCAAGTTCAGTTGGCCACTGGCAGCTGTCTATCATCAGGGCAAGGTCCCAAATACTGAAGCAGATAATTGAAGCCATATTATTTTGGTATTTGCATGTGTACATGTGTAAATGTGTTTTTTCTAAAATTGCATGTACTTGCATGTAAACTGGGAGGTGAGGGTTCAATGAGCCAATAAACAGATCCCCAGGGAGGCCACAAAAAGAGATCCTTGAGTACGAGAACATGTGTCCTTGGATGGTGCCTGGACAAGTGTAGGCCTGGACAAGGGCAGGGCTCCCTCTGTGCTGAGTCAGGTGCAGAGACAATGAGCAAGGGCCCAGCATGGGGTC